CATGACGGGAGTGTCAGGGCTCTGTCACAAAACCATGAATTACACTAGACCGAAGTGACAGAACCCTGACAGAGTAGAGCCATTAAGTCCAGTTATTTAAAGTTCTTCCCTGCTGGAAAAAACAAAACGATAGAAACATCACAGAAATTCTAATGGTGTTCACTACAAATGCCATTACAAACATCTCAAACCATCAACTATTACGCATTAAAACCATTAAAAATTGTTTCCTGTAGTGTGCTTTTGGGACATATTTCATTAAAGGGGTCATATGATGCGATTTAAATTTGTATGTGGAAAATAATGTTTTTTGAACCTTAAACCGCATAAACACATTTCATTACACCAAATACACAAAATAATGTTATTTTTAGCAACATCATATGACCCCTTTAAGATTTAGTGGTTTAACAAGTCACCAATAAAAGGAGACAATTTACCAGTTAAGACCATTTTGACATTCATTTACAAAGCAAAACCAAACTTCACCAAACTTTCTGGATCTCAGAACAGAATGTTTCTTGTTCCCGGACAACAGCGATCATCCAGCATATATATATATATAGGTCAAAAGTTTGGATACATTACTATTTTATATTTTTGCAAGAAGTAACTTATGGTCATCAAGCCTGCATTTATTTGATCAAAATTTTTATATACTTTAAAATACATTTTATGCAATGCAGATTTATTATCAATGTTGGAAACCTGTGATACTTCAAAAGTAAAAAAATAAAAAAAAAAGAACAGCATTTATTTAAAATATAGCTTTTGTAACAATATACACTACTGTTCAAACGCTTGAGGTCAGTATTTTTTTTTTTTAAGAAATTAGTTTTTTTTTCATCAAGGATTTGTTTAATTGAACAGTGATAGTAAAGATTGATATTAATAGAAAACACCTCTATTTTGAATAAATGCTGTTCTTTTTAACTTTTCATTTATCAATGAACCCCAAAAAAGTATCAGGTTACAAAAAAAAAAACAATTAAGCAGCACATCTCTTTCCAACATTGATAATAAATCAGCATATTAGAATAATTTCTGAAGATCATGAGTAACTTATGGTCATCAAGCCTGCATTTATTTGATCAAAATTTTTATATACTTTAAAATACATTTTATGCAATGCAGATTTATTATCAATGTTGGAAACCTGTGATACTTCAAAAGTAAAAAAATAAAAAAAAAAGAACAGCATTTATTTAAAATATAGCTTTTGTAACAATATACACTACTGTTCAAACGCTTGAGGTCAGTATTTTTTTTTTTTAAGAAATTAGTTTTTTTTTCATCAAGGATTTGTTTAATTGAACAGTGATAGTAAAGATTGATATTAATAGAAAACACCTCTATTTTGAATAAATGCTGTTCTTTTTAACTTTTCATTTATCAATGAACCCCAAAAAAGTATCAGGTTACAAAAAAAAAAACAATTAAGCAGCACAACTCTTTCCAACATTGATAATAAATCAGCATATTAGAATAATTTCTGAAGATCATGTGACACTGAAGACTGGAGTAATGATGCTGAAAATTCAGCTTTGATCACAGAAATAAATATTTTAAAGTATATTAAATAGAAAAAAAATATTTTAAATTGAGTACAATATAATTATTTTTTTGAATACAGTTTTTTGTGTTTTTGATAAAATAAATGCAAGCTTGATGAGCATAAAACACTTTCCTAATGCTGCATAATTATCAAATATTTTAATGTTAAAGTCCTTTCACGTCACCATTTCGCCAGCCTACATTTCACGTAAGAGGCTTGTAGATGGCACTTGGCCTTCATTATTTATGATAGTTTCATGGAATAGTAAACGTGTACCATACATAAATATAAGGGAATTGAATACTGATTACCATTATTGCGTCTTTTTGCGCTGCACGGTTTTGTGCAGTGCTTTTGTAGTCATTTAGCATCCATTTTCTCAGCGATGTTTGATTTATAAAATGAGACAAACCGCAGATCCAGAACGATCCACAAATGTAAGCTCGTCTGTCCATGTAATTTTCAACTGATTTATGAACAAGAACGGAAAATGACGCTCCACTTTTCATTATTGTCCAATGAAATGTGAACTTCTTGTGCCAGATCATGATTGGTTGGTGTAGCCTATTATGCATGACAAACGGGCAATGATGAATTATGTAATATTCTAAAATAATTAAATCGACACACTAACTTTGATTATTGATGAAAAAAAGTTTAAAATATTGTTTAGTTTATTTTTTCCGTCCTGCGACCCACTTACTGAAAGAAGGTTTCCGAACAGACTGGAATATCAGTCAAGCAAAAGGCACGCAACTATAGCAACGCCTCAGATTGACAGATATGTACAAATAAACAGGAATTTTTCGACTTTTGAGCGATTAATTACTGTTTTGTACACATTGTCATGTTAATTATAATTGAAATGCGTTTTGTTTTATTTACCACAATATGATTGCTATTTGTCTGAGAGGGGCACTTTTGAATAATTTTGAAAATGGGCAGGGGCTTGAGCCCCCAAAGCCCCCCCTTCTGCACGTGCCTGGATATCACAATTAACTAAGATTGACAGTTTTTCAGTGATTATAAAGGGAGCTCATATGCGCGCTGTCTAAACCAGGGGCGCGTGGGTCGGGGGAATCGTTAGGTTTCTTAATAGTGTTGTCAAAAATATCGATCTTTAGATACATATCTATAGTGAAATATGTGAAACTGTTCAATAGCGCTTTCCTGCAGTATCGATACAGTGATACCAGCTGCGTTAATCTGTCTCTTCTCTCTGACAGCGACTTCACGCACTCAGCAGTCTGACAGAGCCACGCCCCTCTCAGGCAGAGCCACGCCCCTCACACTCAAGCCACGCCTCCGACGGCCAGCCTGTGCCTGTGTCTCATTGCCACATTAATCAGTTTTATTATTTGCGCTGCGTGTTTCAAAGCGAAGTAAGCATTTTCCTCACGCGAACAGCTCGTTATTCGGTGTTTTCCACGTCTCAGAACGGCTCAGTTCACTGTGAATGAATTCAGTCAACTCCATCTCTGCATGTAATGTGAGTTTTACGTGCATTTGGCAACGGAGCGGTCCCCAGTTTTTTTTTTTTT